GGGCAGAGTAGAGGGAGTTGATCCAAGAACGCATGTGGGGCCCCACACCGACTGTCTCCAATGTGCAGCGGAAGAACTCCCAGTCTACCCGGGGCCATGCGTTGCGCGGTGGAGGATCGTGTTGACGAGGTCGGGGAGGCAAAGAAGTGGTGGAGGTCTCTGGTATTCCGTCCGCTGTCAGTTCCCGAAGATTTGCCCTTCTTGGACATCGACTTGGGTGGGTAGTTTAGTGCAGATCAACTGTTAGATGCTGGGCTGGCAGCAGAGCTCAGGCAAGTTGCGACCTCACACCGCCATAGCTAGGCCATGCCCCCCCAAATCATACAACTTGAGATCCTCTCCTTAGACACCAGAAAATCAGTCAGGCTTTTGCAAGTATCTCTGTGGCCTCTTTATACAGATATGTGAGAAATTCTTTCAGAAATCTTTACTAGGTCATGGGTGACATGGGTGACATGGGTGATATGAGTGACATGGGTGACATGGGTCACATGGGTGACACGCGTGACACGGGTGACATGGGTGATAACTGCACCTGAGAACATGCAGGTTGCAGATGGCTCGGGGTTAATCCCCTAAAATGATATTTTGCTTTAGCAGAGTTTAGACCAGATCACAGTACAATGTAAATCTGCCAGTAAGCGTTAGTAAGGTTTGCTATTGCAGCCCAGTCTATGAAAAAATCTAAAATTAGTTGTTGGTGTGCATATTATGGGGTCTATTCACAAAGCTGCCGAAGGATCTGGCCGTAGCTTCGGCCGACCCCTTGGCTAGCTTCGGCCCCAGGACCCCATCGGTTCTACTGTTCACAATAGCCCATACAGCTCCCGATCATGGCTGAGCGGCTCAGCCGAGTCGAACGCATATGCATCGGCTCGCCTGAGCCGTGCTGAAAGCCAAAGCTGGCCGAGCGGGCGGCCATTGGCCGGCCGTCAGCCTGCTTCTGACAGCTGGGCGGAGCCAGCCGTGTTCTTACGGCTGGTCTTATGGTTCATTCTTTCAGGCTGAAGATTTTGTTGTAAAATTCTTTATGTTTATATGTAAGTCATTTACATCACGTGTATATATACATAGGAACGGTATTTTAATGTCGGCTCGTTGCCAATAATAAAGGTGAACTCTTTGCATCTTGAGGAAAGGTGTTTAATCTCCACAAAGGAAAACAATTTTTTATAGAGAAAGCTGGTCGGATGATCAGTGAAATGTCTTCAAGAAAAGTACAGCAAGTCCAGTTGCCTTGACCTATTTTTTACAGATATACATCTTTTGTCCAATATTCCTGAGATCTAGGTGTGCTTATGTAAATATTCTTATAGTGGTTGCAATATATTTACATATAGTTACATATCTACCTACAGTATTCTAGTCAACAGTGACAACTCAAAATGTTTGCTTTTTCCATACTTTCTGTCTTGGTGACAAAGGTCACAGGACACACCGAGAGGGTGCATCTATGCAGTAGGGACACCACCAACAATTAAACCATAAATGGTTCTAACTTTTCTATACTTCATCCGAACCTAAAGAAAAAGGTTTTGGCTTTAGACACACTTCAAGTGCCAAGAAATTGCTTTCCTTTGTTGCAATAATTGGGTTGTGGTGATTGAGCTACCAATGACATGGCATTTGCTCCCTTCAGGTGACCTGCAGAAACCACTTGGAGATTTTGCAAAATGTTTTGTAAAAAATAATCAGAAATGCTAATAGTTGTATTGCCATTAGATACTTCATGACTTGGATGACTGCAAACTTTCACTAAAGCACCTAAACTGATCTGTGGGTCAAACTATTTCTGCTTATAGTGACACTAAACTCCGGAGTTAAATCTTAAAAATCCATTCAAGAGCCTTAACTATGAACAACAATGTATCTAATTTGTGTATCACTCGGCTGTAGATCCTCCAATCATCTCTGACACTGTCCTTCCTTCTGGAGGGGGGCTACGTCTGTTCCCCATGCTCACTGTGTGTGTTGTAAAGTAGTCACCGCTCCAAGCTCGCTCCCGGGATGGTCTCATGTTTAGTTTACAAATTTGTATTCAGACTGTAGTCCATCCCGGGAGTGAGCTTGGATCGGTGACTACTTTACAACACACACAGTGAGCATGGGGAACAGACGTAGCCCCCCTCCAGAAGATTTTCATCCCAGGATTCCCCAGTGCCATCTAAGATTCTGAACTGCTAGAAACCTCCACCATTGATTATCATGAGACTGGATGTTGGCTGTTGATGAGACTTCCTCCTCCAGATCTTCTGTAACCTGTAGATAAGTAATCATGTGTCTATATTACATGGATCTCTTCATTCACTAGCAGCTTCCAAACCTTTTACATTATGTTGTTTACAATGACCAGTGATGACACATAGGCCAGGAGTGTCAAAAGATGAATATTATTAATAATAATAATAATAATGGTCAAATATCACTATTTCACTATTTCACCACAGAAAATACTGATCCCCATATCTTCCCTAATTACACATGTGTTCCGGGCAATATCTTTTTTTCATTTTTCCATATTTTGCTAAATGTAAACCAGTCCTACAACATATCATCTACAGTTTCCATTATTAGATTAAGATGACCCTTCTTTTTATTGAAAATCTCTAAAAATGTACATGACTCTAATCCTTACAAAATCCAATAAATGTCTAACAGAAGGCAATACAAATTCCTCTTATTATTATTCATTATTTACAATTATTTTAACTTTTTAGGCATATTTGGGTCGATTTCCTTTACTTTTTACCATTTTTGAGTTTCACTTTTAAACTTTCCATTTAAACTTGAAATAATATTCTGATTCTTAAAGTTACTTAATTATCGGGAGGGCGAAGTTGTGTGTCTCTGAAGGATACATTGAGTCAAAGTTTCATTTTATGTAAATATTCAAGAAAAGTAACTTTTAAATTAATCCCGGAGGAAACCAGAGTCACTGAGCGCTCCTGTGCCCTCCGGAGGTGCCGGGGGAAGGTTTTGTATTATAAATATATGTATGTGCCGCTAATACAACTGTATGATGACCCAACATGTCACACGTTTTCTTTTATATTGATTTCATTTTATTCAGCAGAATGTCTCCACATCAGACCTGCTGCCACTGAACTGACTCTTCCAGAGAAGAATCCCCACCATCCAACCCCCAACCCCCCCATTCCCTCTCCGATCAGGATGTATTTCTGCTGGGGGGTATTAGAGATAAAAGGATCAATTCACTACAGGCTAATAGTCTGCTCACTGCAAGGTAAATTGTCCTTTAGCTTAGTGAATAAGGTGAAGCTCTGCTGACATTCATCATCCAATCATCTGCAACAATACAGTTTTTGTTCCTTACACGTGATTGGCTATTCTATGTAAGTGAATTGTCATCACATTTACTGAGCTAAGACAAAATTCTCTTACAACGTATACAATCTAATTGCCTTTTGTAAAGCAACCCTAAAATCTTGGAAGAGACTGAAAAGGTCAAATGCAATATTTTAAAAATCTGGCAACCCGCAGGTCTTTTTTTAATCTTTCTTTGCAACTCTGATCACATACACTTACTTTGTCTCATGTTGTAATTTCAGTAGTATGTTTTTTGTCTTTTTTGGGCAAGGTGTGTAAACAGTCACATGTTATATCAGGTCTAAGCTTATGAACAGGATGCTATAGCTACTCCTAAAAAACACTTTATTTCCTCACCTGTATTCCAGAAGGTAGTTACATTGATTGATTAATTGAATGTCTGTGTGTGAAGAAAATTTTAATGAATATTATTTTAAAATGTATTATTTTAAGGGGCTTTTGAGAAACCAACTGAGGTATTTCTGGCACTGGATATTTTGTGAATTATTTGATAATGATGACTAGGCATTGATACATTTTTAAATTGTCTCACTTCATAATTCAGTGTTTGTTAACTGTAATAAAAAATTGCTTAATTGACGAAGCAATTAATATTTATGCATGCACCAAAAGTTTGTATTTATTGTATTTATGCATACATTAAATGAGGACTATTTAGAGGTAAAAGCACCACATTTGTCCACGATTTAATACATTGCAAATATTGCAAAAAGCATTCCTCTGTAGCATGCCTTATTTTTTTTTATTTTTTTTTAAAGAATATGTTTATTTTGAGGATTTTTGTATATTACAGTAAACAAGACAGTACAGTACAGAAGAACATAAAAGACATGGAGCGCATACATCTAGTGCAAAAAGGATGTGGACGCTACCGTCTCTCCCAAGGCACTTCAGTACTATAATATTGAGGCACCACAACATCACATAACGTTCATATTATGCATTCATTAACTTGTCAGTAAGCTAGGGAGGACACTGGTCCATTGATAATGATCTTCACAGCTCGCATGCTTTAATTTAAGGTACCCTGAATGCTATAGCACATTGATGATTCAGGGATTTTCTCTCAATTTGCTGTAGTACGGTTTAACTTTTTTTTAGGGGAAAAGGAGAAAATACATTAGTCATCATGTATTTTACTTAGGGCATTTCAGTAAGATTTTTGAAGCTTAACTTGGGGTCCTGATGATACCGGCTGAGATTTTTGGACAATGGCTTGAATGTAAGTATAACTACCAACGGACGACCGAAATCAAGGCAGAATAATAACAATAAAAATAGTGGGGAACAACATAATTTTTCAGGAATAACTCTCTTTTCCCAGCCTTTTGGATGATCAACACCCTAAATTACACTTTGTTCCATGAACCCTGCAGTAACTGGAATGCTTCAGACAATATTAATTATATTAATGAATTTGTAATCAATAATTTCACATTGTTTATAGTAACAAGAAAACTGACTCTCTTCTGCATCCAATTTTGGAGAACATTTTTGAATTTTGTTGGAGGATTCCTTTGTTGGATATTATAAACTGAAAGAAATCAAATCTGCTAATGAATTGCAGAGCTTAATTAGGATTTATTTATGTGTGTTTTCTTTATTTACTTTTATTTACATATCTTATCATATAAAAGTAAGATTTAAATGTAATGACAAATCAGACATTTGTGAATATATTATTTCTCTCTGGACTGTCTGACCTTTCATCTCTTCAGCTCCCTCTCTTTATCATCTTCCTTCTCATCTACCTTCTGACTGTAATCTGGAATTTACTGATCATCGCCCTCATAGTCTTTGACTCTCACCTCCACACTCCTATGTATTTTTACCTTGGGAATCTGGCCAGTTTGGATCTCTGTTGTTCCTCAGTCACCGTACCACGAATGTTATTTTTTCTTTACACCAAGCAAAGAAAGATCATCATAAAAGATTGTATAACCCAAGTCTTCTTCTTTTTATTTTTTGTTTCTTCCGAGGTATTTCTTTTGACTGTCATGTCCTATGATCGATATACCGCCATTTGTAAACCATTGCATTACATACAGATTATGCAACGGAAAGTGTGTGTACAGTTGATGTCCTGTGTGTGGTGTCTCGGTTTTACCCATGCTTTAGTTCACACTCTTCATGCCTTAAATTTAACATTTTGTGCATCACATATTATAGAAAGTTTTTTCTGTGACCTGCCCCAGTTATTTCAGATCTCCTGCAGTGACACCTCTATCAACATTCTACTCATCTTTCTCTTTGGGGGTTTCCTCGGATTTGGTTGTCTGATACTGACCTTCCTGCCCTATGTCTATATATTCAAAACTGTCCTGAAAATTAAAGTTAAAGGCAACAGGAGTAAAGTTTTCTCTACATGCACCTCTCATGTGACAGTGGTCTCCATATTTTATTGCTCTATTTTTTTTAATTATTTTCGGCCAAACCCTAACTTTCATTTTGCTGGTGAAAAATTGGCACCTGTCTTCTACAGTGTGATCGGTCCTCTCCTCAACCCTCTGATTTATAGTCTGAGGAACCAGGACTTCAGAAACGCATTCTATAATGTTTTTAGGAAGATTGTCTCCACAACAGAAATTGTATCTAAATGAAATCCTCATTTGTAGATATTAGCAAAACACAGAAGTACCTTTGTATGTCCTGTGTTTAAAATTCAGTGAAAAGCTGTTTATGTTGACGTGTAAAAATTGTTTGACAGGCAAAGTGTATTGTATTCGTTTTATAGCGGGTCATATCTAAAACTCTAGGCATTTTTTTCCGTCACATTGGTGAGAGTTCCTTTAGCCTCTAGTCCCAGGGACAAAGCAGGTTGTGGTGTTCCCATGCGAAAATGTCCTCTAATTTCCTGTTCCAGTGTCAACAGTAAATGTTTAGATTTCCCATCATTCTTTGTCCTGGTAAAAATAGCCCTAAGGGAAATAGAGAGGGGACGCAGACAAAAACAAAATTGGCTACTGATAGTTCGGTCACCAAAAAAGGACACCGGGATCTCTGGTTTTTGTACCCAGCCACAGAAGCATTTTTTTTTAAATTGTAATAATTTTATTTATGTGGAATCATCATCCATAAGAGATAGTTCTAGCAGCTACTGTAGACTATAATGCAAAAAAAAGTAGATAGGTTCTAAGAGGATAAAATGATCTGACAACTGACTGAATATCATTACGGTAAATATGGCTTCTGGTTTTTCATGTACTGAGTAGAGAATCTATTAATAAAACACCTACAGAGGCAATTTCCCCAACAGAAGAATCTAAAACTTGGTATCTTTGGTAGACTTGTGCGCCGTCAAAAAATTTGTTTTGTTGCGTTTTGTTTCGGAATATCCCTTATTTCATATTTCGTAATTCGTGTCTGAAACTCAATTCGGATTTGTACGAAATACGAATTTTCGTTAGTTTCGGCACATTTTCGTAACTTTGAAGTTAAAAAGCAAAAGTACCTTTGTTAATATTGGAGTCGATGTGGTAGTTGTTTTTTTTTATCCGAAACACGAATTCCGTTGACGGATACCGGATACGAATTTTGTATTTCGGATAAAAAAAAAAAAAAACTACCATCAACTCCAATATATTAACAAAGGTACTTTGCTTTTTAAGTTCAATATAACGAATGTTCGTAACGGAACAAAATTCCCTTAAATGAATTTCGTATTTCCTGTCTGTATTGTAATGCAACTCTCAGCAGCAGAAGAGAACCTCTGATTGGTCAACCAAACGAATTACGAATTCCGTTAACAGATTCAGGATCCCAATTTCGTATTTCGGATAAAAAAAAAACAACTCATCAACTCCAATATAAATGTACTTTGCTTTTTAACTTCAATATAACAAATGAATTTCCTGCCTGTGTATTGTAATGCAACCCTCAGCAGCAGCGGATCCGTATTTCGGATTAAAAAAAAAATCTTGTCATGTTGTTCAACCTCATTTACAGGGGTAATATTAGTTCCTGTTTCAAAGAAATTCGGATATAATTCGGAAACTGCCATTCGGATTTCGGATGCTTCCGAATTTACGAATTTCAGGAAAATTCGTACGAATTTTGATTCGTAACGAAACGAATCGCACATGTCTAATCTTTGGTATGTGGAGCTTCTCCTTGACCATTTCCACCTGGAACTGTTACTATTTATAACCTTGTATTTAGCCTGGGAAATGATAGCATAACGCTGGCTATCTCCCCAACACACCATTGAAATAGATTAATAGATAGAAGGTTCATTCTTTCTTGGACGTTTTACACATTATGTTCACAATAGGTTTGCAAGGGGTGCTTATCACATTATTTAAATGTCACAAGTGAAATTTCATTCAGTTCTACAGGCACGTGGTTTGAGGCCGTTGTACTGTGTCGAATCACGCTGTGCTGAGCCCATCCGTGACAAGGCAATTTGCCTTATCTTGCATTGTAGCTGCGCTAAAAGCAATGGTCAGCCCCAGGGCCGAATGTACTCTCCGTGCTGCCCCAAGGCCAGGTTCCGCAATGCGCCCCCCTCCCCTCAAACCCCCCCCACACCCTTGATAGCATTTGGAGGTGACAGGTTCTCTTTATGAAGTGTAGAAATGGCACCAGCACAACAAAAACTTGGACAGTGTCAGTGCAAATCCATTTATTGATGTCAGTTATCACTCAAAGGGGGTGATTTACTAACCTAAACACACGCACGCACCAGGTGTGTGTGATTTTCACACAGCAAAACGTATTTATCAACCAAAAAGTCTCTAAAAGCATATTTCCACTAATGCCATATATGGAAAAATCATGCACATGATGCATATATAATGCTGCTTCACAGTTTAGACAAAAATGGTTAGCTCATGCATTTACATTCCTGCATTCATCAACGCAAGCAACACAACATAGAGCTAATTTACCCAACATCACCTTGCAATTCATGCAGGGCTTTGCACAACACACCTGCTGGGTGTGTACACACTACAAAGGTGTTTAGATTCCACCCATAGATCATGCTGGGAGGGAACACACTGCAGAGGTGTATACACGTTCGTGGTGTGTTTATAAGGTTAGTAAATCAACCCCAAAGTGTCATCAAGCGCTTTCGGGGCCACGCAGAGTCCCCTTCATCAGGCTCAGAGTAAACATCCATACAACAGAGAACCATCACCTATATACACACACAATAAAACTATTAATCACATCACCCCAACCCTTGGCGTCCTACTGACGTCATGTTCCCGCCATTTAAAAGTAAACACAACAATGCAGAAGAACAATGTCAGAATCATATCACATATGTGTTTGTGTCTTGCTTCAAAATAGGTTCTCTTTATTGACCATGTCACCTCCAGGACAAGAGTTCTAGCACAGCATTGTGCTGGAACTCCTGTGACAGCTGAAAGGGGAAAGAAACTCTCCCCCTCACTGTTTCTATGGAGCGACAGGGCTAATTTTAACCCTGCCGCTCTGCTCCCCGCATCGGCGACCAGTGAGGAGAGAGACTTGGTGGCAGGGGGAGGATGGAGCCCGAAGCCAGCGAGGAGAGAGGTAGGTGCGGTGGGGGGGGTTTGTTTAGAAGTGATCGCGGAGATCACTTATAAACAAACAAGTGGCTTTCTCACACAACATTTAGCCCTGCTTTCCCTGCATGTTCCGGGCATCAGGGGATTCCACAACGCTGCCGCCCCTCTGCTCCCTGCCGCCCCGAGACCGGGCTTCAGTGGCCTTGTGGGGAATCCAGCCCTGGTCAGCCCAGCTCCCATGCAGATGGTGAGAATGGACCCTTAAGAAAAGCTTGCAATGCCATTCTGCAGCTTCTTGGAGCTGATTGAAAAAAGAAGTAGTGAACGTTAGCAAAGAAGCTGAACCTGTGTTTGTTTTGAATACCCAACCATGTTTATCTGTGCACCCCACTGGTATCCACAATGACCAAATGTTTCATGTACGGAAGGCTTCTACATTGTTAAGTGAATTTTGATGAATTCTGTTTAATAAAAACTCTATTATACTACATTAGGTTGGTGGACTCTTCATTTTATGCCTAGGTGTGATTAATGACGCATTGTAACTGGTTAATCTGCAAACTAGAACTATCAGGGCAGCCTGCCTGAATAAGTCTGTGGGGGGG